ATCATTCACATTTATTTTAATGAATTTATTGATTATAATATAAAACAAAATTTAAAAGATGAAACGTTAACAATATTTCATCAACTCTGAAAGATATTTAAGGGTTATTCTTAATTTTGAAACAAGGCTTTGCTTAATAGCTCTATTCTAATAATAACACCTAATTCATTTACTGAAAGAAGAATTAATGAAAATCTCGAGTAATAAATGAACGCAGAATTAGTTGCAAAAAATGTGTAAACAGATTTGTCTCGGGAACTCCTTCTGACCTTTTCGCAACTTACAACCTCACATGCGAAATACTCGTGAAAACAAGTATTCTTTTAGAAACTTCCTGAAGTCACTCAAGCATATAATAGAGGTTTTTATGATTTTTATCGAAAATGTGACCTTATTGCATGCCATGGATTTTCTTTCTTTTGAAGCGGTGCTTCATTTCTATTTTGTTTCTATGCTATTCTGTTTTGATGACTTTATTTTGGCAACGCATTTTGCTTCTACGTATTTGAAATATTTCTGTAATAGTTTACAATATACGTAAAGTCGGAAGTTTCTATAGCTTATTAAATGCTTTTAAACTTGAAAAAAAAACTTTTGTACAGTAATTTGAAATTTGTTTTCTATGTTTATTGCTAAAAGGTTGAAAGATGTATTGAACTCAACATTTTTGCGCTTATAAATAACGACCCTGATACCTTAGCTGAAAAAAATCATCCATCTTTTACGATAACAAACGTTCCATTCAAATTCAAGGACGGTAACTGCATTCTGATCTAATTTGTAAAAGACATAGCTTTTAGCTTTTTCTATTTAGGGAAGCAAAACTGATGATAGCATGGAATTCTGTTGTACATGCCATTAACTGAAACGCAGTTAATGTAAAATTCGGAATAAAGTTATATTAAAAGGAACACTTTCGTTTTAATTACAATTGCGCATACAGCAAATGTTAATTACAAACAATTTTTAAGAACAAAATATAAACATTCCTAGAATTTTCACACATTAAGCAGCTGAAAAATTATCAGTAAAGACAAAGTAAAATTTAGAACTAATTTTTCACAAAGACCAAAAATTTAAATTCAAAATAAACCTTATAAACTTCTATGCAGCCATTTAACAGTATTTGAACCTAGCTCAAATCAGCAGTGCTCAGCAATCTTACCATTCAGCTGCTGGTGGTTCCCAGAATGTGAGAGTAAATTTGATTACAGCATTAATGGAAAGCATTTCAATGGTAGTTAGAATAGACACTGAAAGAGAATAAAATCAAATTCTTTCAAGGCGAATATAGATAAAGATCACTATCCACTAGAGGGCCATTTCATTGCTTTAACAGTAAAAATAAACTTTTTGATAACACTCTACACAGACTAACTGCAAGTTTGCTAAAGGTACATGTATGCACATAACAATATTTGCTGAGCATACCAGGCTAAAAGGACCATGGCTATAAGGACCAGGCTTAAGACCTCTGCTTAAAAACACCATGGTTTTTATTACTATTAAGATCTGTGATTTGTACCAACCACTGCTTAGAGTTACACCTACCATAGTTTATGTTTCATACCAAAGGATATAAATTTACAATGGTTTCTATCAAGGGATGTACATTTACAACGGCTATAGAGCCATGATAAGAAACCTTATGTGATGGCATGCGATATTTAGAAGTTCATTATCTCTTCAGTATTTAAAATGTGTCAGGTCCAGAACATAATATTTATTTCCCATTGCTTGAGTTATGAATACAAAGATTTAAAATTCTTCTAGAGTGAAATGAATAGAACAGCATTAATGCTTGTTTCAATCAATTATCATTAATTTTATACACCACTGTGTTATGAACTAAATGACAATTACTATTCAAACAAATAAAAACTTTTGCTCAAAAAGGCAATGGCAGAATAATACATCTTCAAGAGTCTATTTGAAATTAAAAGCAATAAACTAATGAGAATTTCAAAGTGACTGCCTCCAAAGAAATAACATACCAAAGATGGTTATAACTTCAATACTTTAAAGAAATCACAACCTGGACCTACACATTCCTATGAATTTCATATTTCAGAAGGGCAATGGAGCTGAGTACAGCTTGATATGAAGCTCCTCTTGGGGGGGGGGAATTTTTAACTAAGTTTGGTTTGAAAATGCTCGAGTGCCCCCTTGTGGAAAATGAGCTGCTTGTTTTTCACAGCACCTAACTGATGTTCAAAGCAAAAGTCATCAATCATAAGGTTACAGAATGAGTTGAAAGCCTCAAAAGCAGTCACTTTTAATGCCTTTCATAGGCTTCACAAAAGATATTTTCTAAAGGTCATGAATAACATGCAGCCTCATCATCCCATTGTCACAAAAGGTGATCTTTTTGAAAATCTTAGCAGCTGATTGCTTCTTATTTCAATCAGATAATGTAAAAAGTTGTATTTTCTCTCATGCCCATTCAAAAAAAAAAAAAAAAAGCAAAAAGCAGTTTTTAAACGTTTTTCTATTGGCTATGAGGATTAAATGAAAACAAACCTTTTCTAGCCATTACATTCTTCGGATTTTCATTGTAACAAGTGAGGCATGTATGGCGTGGACATATATTCTTCTCTTTATTACCACAGTCATATCTGCTTAAACATTTTTCATGGTAAGATCTGCCACACTTAGATAGGGAACATTTCATAAAATCACCATCAGGACTTTTGCATACAAAACATGAATGTTCATCTATAAAAAAAAAAAAAAAAAAAAAAAAAAAAAAAATACAGCATTGAATGTTGAAAAATACAAACTTCACAAAAATTGACATTAAACACTGCACGCACTTAATAATTAGATTTAGATTATTTAACATCACTTACATTTCAATTTACAAATAAATAAAAGTATTTAAAATTTAGCTTTATCAAAGCTGGGCTGGCTAGTCCAGGGATGCAACGTGATGTAAAATCATACTGCTGCTATTTGCCTTTCCGTTGAATGATTCATGATTGAGGCATTGTCATCATAATGTGAGATTCCAGTTATATAATCATCATTTACCATTGCTTCTAATATTCTATTAATTCGAATATAGCATTTTTTCCTGCAATATCTGAAAATCTTTAGATTCACAGCTCTCATCATCACGAAATTTGATAGTTGGCTTTATATCATGTCAAGCATTTTTAAAAATATTTGTAGACACATCCTCTCGTGATCTTGCAATGGCCACACATTAGCTTTTATATTAAAATACTTCTTAACTCTTGAATAATCTTGAAAATTTTCAATATCCATTGGCTGTACATTTTCGGCAAAACATAAAACAGAGATGTTATCATTTCTAAAATAGTAATTTTGATAATATTAATAATAATTTTATTTATGAAGCAAAACAAATCAATTTCCTGTTCGCCCACTTTCATCTCTTTAATGGAGTTGATGGCCCCCTCCTCTTCTTAGAAAGCAGCAAAGGCAGTCATGAGCTGTCTTAGTAGCTCCTCCACTTCTCTTGTTACCAGCATTCATTCCCACTTCTGACACCAAAAAGTGTTGTGTGCATATGGGTTCATGACAATGCATTCAGTCCGTTATGCAATGATAGGTTGACAAAATTTATTTAAATAAAATGCAGTGCAAAGTGCATCTAAAGAGCAAAGCTAACCTTGAGATATTTCAATACTCTGAATGTACACTGAACTAAACAGCCGACAAAACCTGAGGAACTGTTGCTCTTGTCGGTTTCACCCGGCAGCTGAAATATTTCTAGTACTTTCTGCTGCTTGAAATTGATGGAAGACATATGAGAGCCGAATTATGGTTACAGCTACATAGAGCATCAATTATAGTTGTTCAACTACAACACCGATTACAGTTATGCAGGTGCCAGACCAATAATGTCACCAAACGGTCGCAGAGATTGGCGAATTCTGGTAATTTCTCACCAAATTTGGAGACAAAAATTAGTCGTCCAAGATACTCCCAGCTTGGCAATATCTCACCAAATGAGCAAAATAGCCATTTACTCTATGTTAAATAAGACTTGCCCCTGTATTCTTACTTTTCCAGCATAGTATCCTCTCTCTAGACTTTCACATTAAATTAACAGAAAAATAAAACAATTTCAATATATTTGCATTAAAATAATCTATCTATATGCAAAATTCATAATAATATTTATTTTTATCATCTCTCTGGACTGTAGAGTGGCTAACAGAGGCTGACTATTAGGCTGATTAGTTCAGCTATTCTCGACCAATTCATGAAAAGTATGCATCAGGACACTAAAAAGAAGAAGAAAAAAAAAAAGAGAGAGAGAGAGATAAAATTTACCTTTAGCCTCTATACCATACCTTAATATTAAGAACAACTTACCTATAATTTCTTTAGTTGTTTTACTTGATACTTGCAAATTTAAGCTAATCTCTTATTAAGTTATTCCTCTTCAGTTATTTTTCATAATGTTTTAGTTCATTACTTACTAATTATTACTAACTTACTAATATTTTCATCCCTTTCTATTTCATTTAATTTTTCCTTACTTACTGCTTTATCTATTATTTTTTGTTCATTATTTTTCCTTCCCATTTCTGCTTGCATTCTATAGTTTCAGCACTTTTAATTTTAGAAATTTAAGTCCTGGCTGTAGTACTAGAACAAGTTTAGAACTCTTCACATGTAGTGATAAAGAACTGATTTTAGTAAAGCACATTAAAATATCTATAAAACTTTATCAAGATACTATAATAAAAGGAACAAAATATTAAATCCATAGAATAACATATATGCCTTCATAAAACGAGATATCTTAACCAGTCTGCTGATTACACAAACAGATAAAAATTACATAAAACTGATAACCAGAAAATGCAGGCACAATTTTAGCATGGATATTTCTTATTGTTTTAATTGAATGATTTTACAAATTGCAATTAAAAATTATATAAATACCATACAAATGAAATAGCTATTTCATAGTATATGTCAATCAAAAATTAGTCAATATACCAATACATGAAAATATAATTTTTCCCTCCAAATAGAATGTGGATTAAAAAATGTGAAATCATTTACCTGTATTGTGAAATTGTAGCATGTCCAAGAAAATCATTCAAAAACTTGAATCTAAAATTGAGTGCAAATTTGCAAACTTCCTTGAGTGCAGAGAAATTTCCATCATTTACTTCCACTTTATCCAAAACATTATTAAATATATTTAACATTAGTCCCACAAATTAATTGAATTGAATGTTCTCAATTTTTCTCTTGAGAATGACAATAAACTTGTACGTATATATATATAACAAGAGGAAATGCTAAAAGTATTTGCAACATAAATGAAATTTTAAAAGATTGTATCACTGATTTTGCCAGTATCAGCACCAGTGTTCAACTTTAGCTGGCATTAAAATGAATTAATAATTGATTAATACAATTTATTTACTAATTATACTTTAAAATATAATGTAACGTGCATCAATCAAGCAAAAATGAATTATGATTGAAGACGTAAACCGGTTGAAAGCTTTATTTGAAAAAAAAATTCATTTCAACATTTTAGACCTTAAATCTAACGAATTTTTATTTTTTAAAGTGTGCATTTCATTATTTTACATATTGTGCAACATTTAACAATGTATTAATATATAAATAATTTTTAATACATGTATACTCAAATACATGCAAGTCTAACTTCCATTTATCAATATTTTTTTTTTTTTTTTTTTTTAATCTCATACTCGGAGGCATGCCCTAACGAGAACCCAGGATATGTATGCCCCTGCTCCATACAAATTACAAATCACATTATATTATCTGAACAATAACTTACCTATGCATTCAGAGTTACTTCAAACTTATGAATAACAATTACTCACACAAATACTATTTTTCAAACAATGAGACTACTAAAAGATCTTCAAGGATACTTCTGGAATGTGTCAAAATCCAAACGAACTGATGTATTATATATAACATAAAAATGGTGCACTTTTTAACTGTTTAGTTATTTATAAGCCTGGAATATTATACATTACAGAGCACTGCGAGAATCTTTTAATGTTTTTGCACATGCGCTCCAGCATAATTAGTTGCATGGTTTTGAAAATGCTCCACTGCTTGAAGCTCTGCAGGAGGAAGATCCAAAACTTTAATCTTCCCAAAATGCAAGAGAAAAACAAAACAAATAAATAAATCATTTACCGAAAATCATGATTACAGGAAACCAAAGGAAATATGACTGTGCTGTGACATTGTACTTACCAGTAGAGGCACTAAATCACACTGTTATGAAAATACTATGCAGCTTCCAGTTCTGCAGAAGGCAGTACAAAATTTTAATCCTCCCCTAACCTCCAAAAATGCAAGAGAGAAAAAAAAAATTTTAATTACTGAGAATCGTGGTTATATAAAACCATAGATTTCACGAGTATGTTTTGACACTGCACTTATCCACTGATGGCAGTAAATCATACTGTTTGACAGTTTTTGTTCATCAAAAATGGTCAATGCAAAAATAACATAACATTAAAAACGGTCAACCGGAAAGGATGGGTAAGTACTAAATAATGACTGAAAGAAAACTCATTCTAGACATGGAAAATGGAAAATCCTTATAAGAAATTGGTCACAGTGAAAATCACATTATTTGATCACAATATTAAAACTTAAAATCAACAGCAGGTTTGATAACAAAGTTATGGTACAAATATTAATTAATAGAGGAAAAATTTACTGTACTTAAGGCAACATTTGCCAAACTTCCTTATTAATAGCAAAAGATTCTTAAGTATCATTTAAAAAAAATACTCTGGGCATGAAATTATAGGAAAAAAAAATGCAACCAAGGCCTGGTTAACCCCCCCCCTAAAAAAACTCTAAAGTGAATATATTTATTATCATTTCCAAAATGAATATATTTAATGCGCTGCCCTTGTGAAAGAATACATTAAATCTAATGAGTTCTCGAAACAAGTATAATATTTTCCAATGAAAAAGAATTTCATATGCATATCATTAAAGGACCTGGTTTGGCAAAAACCTGGAACAAAGCTTAAGGAAAATTTTAGCCAGCTGTGACAATGGTGGCAATATCAAAATGGTCTGGGGTGTGTGTGAAACATGCATGGGGGCAAATGGAACTTTTTGAGAACACGAGGAACAAAAAAGAATTATTTTAACACTTTAAAGCACAGTGCTGTGAAGCCTAGGTTAAGCAGCGATATTTATTTTACACAGAATCACTACCCAAAGCACACTGCTGCAGTTATGAAGGTCTGGCATAACAGATGCTCACAGCTCAAGTCACCCAACTTGACACCAACAGAACATTTATGAGATTTATTGAACACAGAATCAACCAGCACACTGCAGTTTCAAAAGATATGATGAAGAGAGGCTTGAGAAAAAATAGCACAAAATTAAGATCAAGGATATATTAAATTACCCAATTCTATGTAAACTGGCATCCTTAAAGAATGAGATAAACTACAAGCTATTACCTCTTTCATATCGAAGTCGCCCAAAACACTCAACCATTCAGACATCGGCAGGTTGCTCAAACGCCTGAATCATTTTCTACCTGGTACTTTCCTCCATCAAGTTAGTGAATGGCTCATTGCTTTTGGGAGTTGTTAAATGGCATGATAATCATTCTTTTCAAACAACTAAAAGTAGCTGTTATTTGAATGCCTCACCCTCCTCCTTTGTTTAATATCAAAGTTTAGCTGTTGATGCCCAAAGTTGCAATCCTGTCCTAAGGGAAAATTGCTAACAGTGGTGAAACCCTATGAATATCCCAACAGAAAAGTTGTTGCTTTACTTAAGTAAGGTATTGCTAGCGCTGTAGCATTCTACTTGGCATGAAGAAATGAAATCTATTCTGGCAAAAATAAATATATACAAGCATTTCAGATGCTCGCATTTGTTTAAACATTTGTTTAAATGTTGGCCCCTACCGATGTGAAAGAGTTAAAAGGTAAATAAAATTAAATTTTCTTACTCCTAATTTAATACTTGCAGCCTGTTTCTTCTGAATATTCAGCTTTATTATTAGTTAGAGTTTGTTCTTTGCCTTTCGGCAACAGTTTCATCTTACATTATTTAAACAACATAGCACATAAATAAAAAATTGCATCTAATTTTATACAAAGATTTTTTAAAAATTATTTCTTTGCATATAATTATATCTTTCGACAGTTTATATTCAGACTTCTTCTAGGAAGTGTATGCCTCACTATGATCACCTCATTATCCCACCAACACATTTCCTAATGAATTTACTTTTGAGAATGGCCAGAAGGTATGCAGTAATAAATACCTTAATAACATCTCTGGAACATTATGTATTTTATGGGCAAAATTGTTTTGATGTACACTGTAAAAGCACATTAGCACTCACTCTTAAGTTTTCACATGAACAGCAATTTAAATTTACCTAAATCACAATCGGGACACTTGAATCCTTGAGGTACACAGAGTAGACCTAGGCAATCTTTATGAAAAGCTTTGTTACATGATCCTGTACAAGCGAAATCTGGTTCATCTCTTTTACATATTCTGCAATAAGGATCATCTGAATTCTCATTCGTCAGACATCTTTTCACTTGTCTTTCATTCTGAAAAGTAAAAAAGTACACTGTATATTATTTGATAAAATAAAAATAGTACACAAAAGCTTAATTAGAAAATAGGAATATACACTCATGTCCAAAATTATGTTTACATGCATAAATTCACAGATTTCTCAGAGACTATGACTTATAATTTAACGAATTATTGTGGAATCATACATAACATGATGACACATAAATGCAAAAGAAAAAATTGAAGATCACCTCATATGATATAAAATTGTAGCATGAAACAATAAAAATGGTAATAAAGTGTGACAAAGAGAGTTAAGAAAAAAAGGAATGATTCAGAAAAAGAATTAAGTCTTACGAATTTAATATGGAATATGATCTCCCCTGACTTGTACACACATATCACAACGTGTTTTAAGGCTTGAAAATAACGTTGTTAACCACAGTTTGGGGAATTAATCTCCACTCTTCCAGCAATGCCGTCTTCAGAGCATTTACATCTCTAGGAGGAGGATGTATACGTGCAATTGCTCTTCCAAGGTAGTCCCCATAAGTTTTCTATCGGGTTAAGGTCAGGAGAGTTTGGTGGCCAAGACATTCGCTTAATGTTCTTCACTTTCAAGGAATTCATCAACGAGGTTTTGCTCGATGTGGATGGGTATTATCATCCATAAAATAAAAAGTCAAGGTCCATATGCACCCCTGAAAAGTCTTACATAAGGATCTAAGACCTCATCTCGATATATCTGGCCTGTCACAGATCCGCTGCTGAACACGTGTAGGGGCGTACGTCCATCGATCATTATTCCACCCCATATCATCACACCTCCATTACGAAACGGTCACGTTTCCACAATGTCCGAGGGATCATTTCGTGTTCCTGACTCCTCCAGATGGTAAACACGTTTAGAATCACCAGTTAAACTAAACCGCGACTCATCAGTAAAGAGAACATGGGACCATTGATGTTCAGTCCCAGTTTTGATTTTCTTTACACCAATTAAAGCGATCCCTCTTTTCTGTGAAGACAGTAAAACACATACCCTTGGCTTTCTGGCATAAAGGCCTTTTTCATTAAGCCTTCTGTATATTGTTTGCCATGATGCAACAGTTCCAGTGGCGGCTGCAAGCTCTGAACTTAACTGGCGAGCAGTAGCCTTTCTGTTACGACGGGCAGTTAATGCCAGATACCGATCTTCAGAAGCAGTTATCATTCATTTCCGACCTTGTCCAGGCCTCCTTACAACACTTCCATCATTTTGAAACTGTTTCCATAGCTTAGAGACTGTCTGTCTTGAAATATTCAGACATGTGGCTGTTTCCATGATTGACTGCCCTGCTTCTAAACGGCCGATAATTCGCTACTTTACAGATTCTTCCAAATGATACTTCGAAGCCATAACAAACCGCTTTGAGTCCCTACACACTGAAATCAAACGCTATGTTGCAGAAATTCACTCAAATATTCAGTTGCGCAAAGCGCTTGATTCACCCTTGGATGGCGTAACGCCTAGATTTGCATATCACAAACCGTTTGATTACTTTTGATTGGATAATGCTAATTAGGCTTGGTTTTCACACATTCCCTGCAAATACGGATCACATTGATTCGATATTTCATTGAATATCATCATTTTTGGGTATGTAAAGATAATTTTGGACATGAGTGTAGATCCCATTCTACAAGCCATAGCCTCACTCATACAAAAAAATTAATAAATGATAAATATAGGGTTGAATTTAAGAAACAAAAAATTAAAAGCAACTACTTTTTCAGGGATAAAAGACATTTCCTTGAATTTTATAAGCTTCCTGTAATATAGGAACACACACTTAGAAAACTGGAGAAATACCATTTTCTTGAACATAATGCAACATTTCTGTAACTCCAGAAACACAGCATTTTACTTTAACACAGTTTGAAACAAAGTTCTCACTTAATTTTAAAGCAAAATTTTATTGGTAAAATGCTAAGCATATTTTTTTATCAAACATACTAATGTCTAATTAACCATACTAATTCAAATAATTGCAGTACATATAAAAATTGGTTTTTAAGCTTTTTCCTTAAAAAAATAGACAAAAATCTAAAAATTCAGATGAAAGTAATGTTTGACTTCTAATATTCAAAGTTTTGATAACTTTTTATTAAAACACGTGTACAATTTCTTCATCATTTCTGTTAATATTACTTTTCTACGTGAAACAGAAATAAGATTGCATACTTTTCAACAAATTTTAAAACTGGTAAAGTAAGAAACAAGCCACTAAGAACTAGAGGAGTAATAAAGATGAAACGCTCAGTAACATTTAATCGTTGTAATCAGAGAAGCATGCTCAGAAAAGAATTTATTTTTTCAGCATGATTTCCAGAAGCTACAGCAGTTCAAGTCAGTTTCCTCATCAACCCTTGTTAATGCCAGATTTTAACTCTAAACTGAATTAATTATAAGTAATCTTTGTCCATTGTCACTATTTATTATCACATCAATCTCTACAATTACAATCCTAACTGCAGGATTTTCCTCAAAATGAAAATAAGACATAAATAAGTTATTGGTGCATTAAAGTTCTGTAATACTTTTCATGATTTCAACAATCATAATTGGAATAAATTTTTATTAACCTAAATTCCTAAATTCAAATTCAATCGAGTATCACTTAGCATTAAAGCCTACTGATTTTCACATTCTTCTCCTGCTTTGTCCTGCAGCTGTTTTTTCACCCCAGATTTTCATAACTTGTTTATCTACTCGAACACTATATTACTGCCAAGTTCCATAGCTGTAGCTCAGTTCTTTCAGGGTGCATATATTTGCACTGAAGCGTATTTTAACATTTGTCTAATACAGAAAATTGTACACTTACTACATCATCATATAAAGCTATCTTTTGTCTTTATGGCAGTAACAATAACCTTCAAATAACTTGCGAGTTGGAAGAAAATACAGATGTTTTGTTCTCAAAGGAAACAAAAATATCAATAAATTGCTTTGCATAAGTAACTTTACAAAACTAATATTTACAATTTATGTCATGTATACTCACAGCTCAGAAAAAAGGTTGAATAAGCAGCTACAAGATGTTCTTTTAGATGTTAGCAAAAAATATTTAAATAAATACAGAATTCCCCCTCCCCTTTCCAAATTAGTCACAGCATACATACTGTAGGAGGAAAAATTATGCACCTAGAAAAAGTGGATCATGAAGAAAGTGGTCAATGACAAGAAAGAAACATAAGAGCATTTGAAGAATCAGTAACATAATTTTTTGCAGAAAAATTTATTCAAATCTCTTAATGTGACACATGGCTACCCTGGGTATCAAAGCCAGCAAAAACACCGCCTGGCGTGGATGCATATGTCTAATACCATTTTGAGGGATGCCCCAACATATTTAATATAGTTGTGCAGTCAGGTCTGACCCATTATGCAATATCCAGTAATTGGGACAGCCATAGGAGGGTTGCGATATTTCAAAGAAAGTCCACAATGACATGCTGCATGCAGACAAGCATTATCATATTGAAAATAGCCCTCTGCAACCTTACAGCATGGGTATTACAGTAAGCCATAAGATGTGTCAGCATGATGTTAACTGCTCAAGAGGGAAAGCAGGATGACTTATGTAAATGGATATTATGCATGGTTGCTGTAGTCATCCAGACCAGGCAGGAATTTGAATTTATCACATTTGAAGCAATTACAGCATAAGCAGCACACTATAACCAGAGTAATAAACAAACGTTAATTCAATTTTTGAACATTTCTCCCCTCGTTTTTTATATATATATATATATATATATATATAAAGTAGTGACTGTCATGAGAGCAAAAAAAGGCCAAATTACTGGCTCTGTTTTACAAATCACTGCACTATACTTAACTCAAACAAAAGATTTATATTAATGTAAGATTGCTAAATCTTTCAGTTTCAGACAACTACTAACTTAATCCACTGATAATGAGAATCTTTCTTTATAAATAATAAAAAATCAGAAAAATCCTTTAACTAAAAAACATATTCAGTACACATTGCTTAAAAGTGTAAATCTGTATCACAGAACATACTTCCTTAAATACAGAACAAGACCAATAAAGAGGCATTTATTTATTTTGATAAGTTGAAAAAAATCATTAATGTAAGAATATAAAAAGAAGGTAACTTCACATAAACTTCAACGAAAGAAAAAACTTTTCCATTTATCACAACAATACTGACAAGATATTAAAAAACTGCACTATTACTAAACCTTCAGAAGGTTTACAACACAATTATTTCCATTAATTATTATATACTGTTAATAATTACATTAAGAAGTCTGAAATGCTTAATAACAAAAATTGTTGCCTTTTACCTTTTGTAAAACTATTTTAAGATACAGAACTAAATTGCCATTTTCAATCAATAGTTATGACTTTGGTGTAAGGAAGTCACTGAGACTTTCATGAACTATTTATTCATTTGATATCTTAATTTACCAGTTCAGAGTCCTCATCACTCGTATGTATTTTTAACATTATCCATTTCAAGAATGCCTCCTTCGTTCAAAAAATCATTACATATTTCATATACAAGGAAACAACTGCTGACTGTAAAAAATCTAATACCATATAATCATTTACTTAAGATGGTACTATTAGAAATGAGACAAAAACAATAATATAGGAATATCATGTTTCATAAATTGCTTACTATGCCACGTATAAACTTGGTATTGAAAAAGTGGTAAAAAAAATTTTTTTAATGAAATAAACTAATGAGCTAAAACAAATCAACTATATTCAATACAATTTTATTAATTTAGAAAAAGTATCAACATCCATGCCAAAATATTTGAAGCCCATTGTCCCAGCTAATTAGTGAAGTTAACCTTAGTTATTCTTGATTCATGTCTCACTTGGAAACAAAACATTACTTACAGAGCACAAATCTACACATTATGCAATTCTAAAAACAAATTTTGAAGCACTAAATCACCAGATGAAAGAGCAATGAGGTAACATAACTCATAACTAGTTAACATAATAAAA